CTGTGTGTGTGTGTGTGTGTGTGTGTGTGTGACAGGTCGAGTGACTGACAGAGGTCGAGTTACCTGTGTGTGTGTGTGTGTGTGTGTGTGTGTGTGTGTGTGTGTGTGTGTGTGTGTGTGTGTGTGTGTGTGTGTGTGTGTGTGTGACAGGTCGAGTGACTGACAGAGGTCGAGTTACCTGTAGAGTAGCACACCTGATATTAAAACACACCGACAGCACCACAGCTATCCAGACAGAGCTAGCTGTAGCTGATCTTAATCTGAGATCTCATTCAGAGTGAATCAGAGGCACAGAGAAGCTAACAGCTAACAGTCTGTACAGAGAGAGATCTCCGTTCATTCCTCTGAGAAGCTGCTCAGTGGCGCATGAAGCTAAAAGACGCCCGGATGTGGGTCGACTGAGCATGCGCAGTGGAGTTTCCCCACACAAAACACACTCGATACTCCTCTATATACAATTATTTCTTTCTGAGGAGATGTATATATTGTTTTTAAATGTATAAATGTGTTTATGTATTTTGTTTAGACAAGATGGACCATTGTTGATCCCCAGAGGGAGATTCAGCAGCGACAGAGAACAGGCTTCATAATGTTGATACCATTACAAATATAATTATATTAGTAACTTTTAAAACAACCCGTCACAATAAAGTATATATATATATCTTTCAATGTAAGTCAAAAGTAAGTCTATTTGGGCCATCATGACGTCACGCTACTTGCAGTACCACCATTGGCCACAGCAGCTTCAGCCTCCTGCGGTTTAGGAGCTAACGGCTAACAGCTAATCCTCTGCTCTCTAACCCGCTGAACCCGGAGCAGCTTCACCTGATCAGACGATCGATTACTTCACTCACTGACCTTTAACCCTGCTGTCATTAAGTCATTAACAAATGAACACCTGAACACAGTTACATATCATCCTCCTCCTCACCTTCTGAGAGTCCATCACCTGAGAGGACGCTTTCACAGAGTGACGTCACACACATCACAGCTTCCGGTGTGGAGTTTCAAAATAAGGGTCTGAAGCTGTCAAAAATTCATTTAAATGCTGTCTAAATATATATACCTATATCATGTGTAATTCATGCAAATAATAACCCGTTATGTCAGTATGTGAGTCCTCTCCTGCTGATGTTCAGGTGTATATCAGTATGTAGTGTCTCTACTTTAAAGAGTCCTCTCCTGCTGATGTTCAGGTGTATATCAGTATGTAGTGTCTCTACTTTAAAGAGTCCTCTCCTGCTGATGTTCAGGTGTATATCAGTATGTAGTGTCTCTACTTTAAAGAGTCCTCTCCTGCTGATGTTCAGGTGTATATCAGTATGTAGTGTCTCTACTTTAAAGAGTCCTCTCCTGCTGATGTTCAGGTGTATATCAGTATGTCGTGTCTCTACTTTAAAGAGTCCTCTCCTGCTGATGTTCAGGTGTATATCAGTATGTAGTGTCTCTACTTTAAAGAGTCCTCTCCTGCTGATGTTCAGATGTATATCAGTATGTAGTGTCTCGACTTTAAAGAGTCCTCTCCTGCTGATGTTCAGGTGTATATCAGTATGTAGTGTCTCTACTTTAAAGAGTCCTCTCCTGCTGATGTTCAGGTGTATATCAGTATGTAGTGTCTCTACTTTAAAGAGTCCTCTCCTGCTGATGTTCAGGTGTATATCAGTATGTAGTGTCTCTACTTTAAAGAGTCCTCTC